TGTATGACATTTACATTCCACTGGATACATTTAAAATAACTATTTGTCAGTTTAATTTTTACAATTAATATTGACAATGTACCATGCATTACATGCTTTGCAGCTACTTAATGATGAAATATTTCAGATGTCAACTTAAAAAATGTGAAAATGGGCACATAGTTTTTCAAAATTCTTTTAGAAAGGATAACAATAAAAGGAAAACACGAAGACTACTTATCTAGGGACAAGCCTAGGAGCTTTGTGACAACCTCAACCCTTTTCTTCTTCCACCCAGCTGTCCCACGCCCATGTCTGAAGCGCAGAGTCTGGGTGGGATCAGAGAATGCAAATTAACTTTAACATGAGCCCTAGAGAGACACCTCTGGAAACGTCAGAACCAGAGTTCTGAGTCATCCGACACTAGCACACACAGAGAGGCTCCGGGTCCTTGGCTGTTCGCATCACTCACGCCTAAGGTCCACTCTCTCAGGCTGATCCAGACTTGACAAAAATGAAAAGTGTGGGCATGTCCTGTGCTGCTATGCGTCACACACGTCCCTCCACCATTTACACACCGCTGGCTTTGCAGCCACTTACCGCTTTCAGCTGCAAGCAGCAACATGCTAGCTTTTGTATTAATTGCTATTTGGATAAGTGTTAGGGGTTTATGAATAGCTGTCTATGATGGGGAAAGTGAAAAATGGGTCAATGGCACGCTTTTCTTCCTTCACCTTTCTTCTTTCTTGCCTCGTTCCTCAGCTCACAGCTTCCCTAATTTACCTGCCCACGTGGGGCCACATCTGGCTCTTGTGAATTAAGAGCTTTTAAAACCCAGCAGGTTTTGCTCCCTTAAGGGTTTTGGAATGGTCTCCAGGTGACTTCTGGCCTCAATTGTCTGTCTGTCCGTGATTTAGAAACCCCACTGAGATCCCGTCTTCTGCAGGTCTTTGTTGAGGAGCCAAAGGCCCCCAGGCAGCCTCCCCAGATGTCTGCACCTTGGCAACGCCCTGGTTTGAACATGATTTTAATAGCAACTAATTCCCTTGGCTGTGGCACTGCTGCAAATGGCTCATCATTTTACAGGCAAGTTTCAACAGTCGTGTAACCAGATGAGAATCTTTCCCCAAACAATAGCACTGTGGCAGAAAACAGCTAAGGCATGGCAGGGGGACAGCTGTGAGGCAAGCAGCAAATGGAAGGTGGGACAAATTATCTACTTTCTGGAGTGATTACTTATTTACATTTTTAATGGTTTCCAAAGGAAAGAGGATTGTTTGCAACTATGAGTAGAATTTTTGGAATATCTGTAATGTCTAAGAGAGAGTCCGTATTCAGGGACAATAGCTGCCAGCAAAGCGGGTCTAGATTATTTGAGGCATTACTCCCCAGTTCCAGCTCAAGTTTTAGATAGAAGGAAAAGCCACCATCCAGAAACACTGGCTGGATACCTGGCCTGAAGCAGTAAACTCATCCTTTGAGTATGATGTGCCGTCACCCCATGCTCCCCATCTCACTCTCACCTGCCTAAGGACCACTGCTGCTCCCTCAGCCACTCTGGTGCTCCTTTGGTTCAGGATTCTGCTCCATACAGGGGGTGGGTGGTGGGAGGGCACCAAGGACAGTGTGCCCGAGGCTAAGATGTTTAGTCTTTGCAACGTCAACCTCTGAAACACACGGTATTACTCAAACGTCTGTCATTTACTTCATCGCCTATTATAAACCACCTCACACATTCATCTAAACCTACTTTGACTCTAGTGACCCTATGTTACTTCTTACAACATAAAGGCAAAGATGGCATGTACTCACAAAAAGGCCACTCTCATTTCTTGCATTCATTTCTCACCATAGCTATCACTACTTGAAAATTTGTTTGTGGCATGTTCTTTAAGCAGATCAAAGCAAATTCTCATCTTAGAGCTACCAAGCAAATATTCTTATTCCTATTTCTCAAGATGGAGAGGTTGTGACTCAGAAAGATGATTGAGTTTTCCCCAAGTGTGTGCCTTCTAGGGAGCAGAAGCCAGTCTGTCTGAGTCTGGAGTTTGGTTGTTTTCTGCTACCTTCTCTACAGTTGCTGCTATTGACTCTGCTTTCCCTGAACTGTGTGATAAGTCCACGGTCCTAATGATATGCCTTGTGATTTTATAGACTTTGGCAATATCACCCCTGAGTTTTTCCAACAACGGAGTCCCATCTGTCTTAGAATCAGTAGGCAGGTAGAGGTTCAGCTTTAACTTCTCTCAGTTGCCCTCCTCTGGAGTTTTTCCAGCTCTGCCAAGGTTTCCTTGAATTTCGAGGGTCAGGCCTGCAAACAGTGCTCCAGAGGCTAATGCCCTTTTGTTTGGTGCAAGGATAGGAGCCATTTTTTTGCTTGAGTTTTATCCCAACATTAACCACAAAATTCCAAAAATTTTGAGCTAGAAACTTAGAAATCATCTACCTCAATGGTGCTCAAACTTGAGTGTGCACCAGAATCACTTAGAGGGCTGGTTTGTACATCAGTTATCTATTGCTGTGTAAAAAATTACCTTAAAACTTAGCAGCTTAAAATAACACACATTTATTATCTCACAAAGTTTCTGTGAGGTCAGGAATCCACAAGTAGCTTAGCAGAGTGGTTCTGGCCCAAGGGCTTAGAGAGACATTAATCAAAGTGTTTATTGGGATTGCAGTCATCTGAAGGCTTGGCTGGGGCTGGATGAACCTCTTCCAAAAGGGCTCACTCCCGAGGCTGAGGTGAGGTCTCAATTCGTTACCACTGGGCCTCTCCATAAAACTGCTAGAATGTTCTAAAGACATGGCAGCTGGCTGCCAAAGCCAAAGCCAGAGATCCAAGGAAGTGATCAAGAGAATGGCCAACCCATAGTGTATTTTGTAATCGAATCTTGCAAGGGATATCCATAACTTCTCATGTATTTTAGTCATCATTCAGCCAGTACTGGTATAAGGAGGAAAAGGACTACATAAGAGTGTGAATTCCAGGAGGTGGTGATCACTGGGGACTGTCTTGGAATTTAGCTATTATAGCTTGTTGAAACTCAGATTTCTGGGCCACATCCTCAGAGTTTCTGATTCAGTAGGTTTGGGGTGGGGCCCAAGATTTTCTAACAAGTTTCCAGGTAATGCTGATGTTACTCATCTAGGAAACATCTTTGAGAACAACTGATCTATCCCATATTCTCATTTTATAGATGAAGAAATTGAGTTCAATAAAGATGGAGAAAAATGGGGAGCAGGAAGTATAGCAATAATTAATTATTGAATACCCATTATGTGTCAGGCACTAGGCAAAAGCTGTTCATGCATTTTCTTGTTTAGTGCAATAAATCCTGTGTATTACTCACCATTTCATGAATGAGGAAACTAAAACTAAGAGAGCTTGAGTAACTTGCCCAAATTCACATGTATAGTTATTGACAGGAACAGGACTGGAACTCGCATCTCCTGATTCCCAAGTCAAAGTCAAAGTGTTCTGTACAACCTGATAACCCCAATCTACTCTTCTATGACTATAAGTAGAACAACTGTTTTCCTTCAAAATGCATTAGCTATATGATTATGGCCCTATCACACAATCCTACAACATCATCCTATAAATTGTACCCATTGAATTTTCAGCTCATAGGCTAAAAATTAACATTAGTTTCATTTGAAAACTTAAGAGAGTAAACATTCCTGGTGCTTTCTAAGTCTTCTAGAACATATCTGGGAAATGTTGGTTCCAACAAGGATCCCCAGAGGACTCTGACAATTATACCAATTACCTAAAGGATATAACTTCAATCAGTTCAAGAGTTGAACTTGCATGCTGAAGTCACAGTTCCACCTTAACACCTTGGGCAAATCTCTTAAAAACCTTGTGACTTTGGTTCATCATCTCTAAAATAGGAAAAATAATAATCTCCTCTTTACCCACCTCACAGGGTTACTGTGAGGATCGAATAATATATGCAAAGTCCTTTGCAAACTAAGGATCTTGCTTATAGAAGATACTATTGCTGTTACTGCAGCATTTCTTTTCCCCATCCAGTATCTGCTTATTTCTACTCTTTGATAGAAGAGTAGAAATACTCTTATTTCTACTCTCCTATTTTTAAGAACAGGATGCTAGACCTTATTGAAAGCCATCTAGGCATCCATTGAGATGATTATTTTATTTTTCTTATATAACAGATATTTCTCCAGGCAGAGTCAGCTATAGGGTAAGAATCTCAAAAATGAAAAGGAGGGAAAAAGCAAACTCTTACTATATGCAGGGCTCTGGCCTACATGTTTAACTTACATACTCCTTGTAACAAATCCATAAGGGTCCAATCAATATCTCTGTGTTAGATGTGGAATTGAGGAAAAGACACATAAGGTCATTGCTGTAAGTAGGAGAGCCAGGATCTCACTCTAAACTTGCTCAGTGTAGTTAAAATTACTCAGCACAGGGCCTGGCTCATGGAAAATGTTCAATGAATGGAAACTTTCAAATGTCACCCTGATGCATCTATTGGTGTGATCGGGGCCACCCTCCCCCCATATTGGACGGGCCTGTTTGGAATTGGATATTTGGAGAACAGAAATACATGGGGGATTTACAAATGCTTTCTTCTCAGCATGGAGTATGGTGGGAGGACGCTCTCTGGTAGAGTCATATTTCTGTTAAGTCTGTTTCCTTTATTATCGATGCTACTGGGAGCAGAATTTCCTTATGGTGCCTATTTTGTAACGTTTTAGAACATCCACAAAATACAGTGGTCACCAGGAGGCAGCATGGGTTCACTGAGAACCAAATTGCTTTGGGGGCAGGATAATCAGACATGTAGGTGAGAAAAATGCTATAAATGGCATTATAAATTGTTCCTTTTTAAAATTTAATTTATGATGTATGATAAAATAAACCAGCACTTAGTATATTTCCCGGCACATAATAGGTGCTCAAAAAAGTCTGATGAGTTTTGATAATTGTTACATAAACCTATGAGTAGAAGTTACAGAGACACGTATTTGAGCCCACATTAGGGCTAATATTAGCCCTGTTAAACACTGGAAAATGATGAATCACAGAACAGTAAGTTTTCCTTTTCTTGAATGCGTGAAAGCAGAAAATCCTTGATCCTCCAACAGGGAATCCTGGAGTGGGGGGCACTGCTGAGGCTCTGCCCAGATCTCCCTGGGGCCCCCTTACCATCTCAATCCTTCCTTCTGGTTTCTGTGTTCTTGTGCTTCTCATGGCCAGTGATGCAGTCATTGGGCCCCCAGCTCCCTTGCCCTGAGTTTCAATAAACTCTGAACTGTAATCTCTCTCCCCTGAGGCTCCCTTGTGGCATCAGGCTGAGGCTGTGACTTGGTCTCAAGTCTCAAGTTGGTTTGGCCTCTTTCCATTCCCTTCTCTGCTTCTCCCGTTCTCTCACTGGTTTCTCCTGGGAGTGTTTCCTTAATGCATCACTTGCACACAAATCCTTGACTCTGGATCTGTTTCTAAAGAAGAGGACCTAAGACAGTAAAGAATGAATTTATCTGATCAATACTAACAGATAACACTTTTAGTCCAAACAGAATGAAAATAGATGGATTGAGCACACCCACTCACTGCAGCTGTCTTTCAAAAGCCTAGGTGGTGCATAATCCTGTCTGTGCAACTCAGTGTTCACTGTAGACTCTGGAGAAATGGAGCCACGAGGCACTGCTGGGGCTTCTCAGGCAGTTTGGTCCTGTGGACAAGGGAAAGAAGCTGGAACAGGATGCAATAAGGACATGGCAATGTAGGGATTGACCTCCAAGGGGATAAAATCAACAGTCTGAATCACAGGATCCAAATGAGTGACACACATAGACGCCTTCATTTATCTCCAAGGGGAAGTAAATACCCAAAGCCCTTTGGAAATAGCATCAAGGTTCACTGAGTTTAGATCAGGATCCCAGCTAGTGGCTAGTTGCCATTATCCAAGGCAAAACGTTTTCATGCTGGCTAGACATAAAAGCAGGGAGTAAAGAATTTTGTGACTTGAGGGACATAAAGGTGCCTAGTTCTCAACAGAGGCACCTCATGCTGGGGCTTGTTAGTAAACCAAATTTCAAACTTTTCATGTTAGTGGAGCAGAGGCTTCTAATAGGCTCTGTGCTCTGGTTGGGGTTGGATACAGGGGGAAGAAAACAGGCAGGGAGTTGTTTGTTGGGACTACAACGTGCCAGGTACACATTTTCACACATTATCTGCAATCTTCACAACAACCTTATGAAGGATTATTAACCTCATTTTTTAAATTTGGAGAATGAGACTCAGAGAGGTTAAATTAAGTGCCCTAGGTCACTGGTTAGGGTGGAATTCACACGCATTAAACAATAGCTAATTGAACAATGCCATCTGTAGTCTGCGCCAGGGGAGTGGTGCGAATGGGAATTGCTACAGGGATGTAAACAGAAAAGGTGGAGGTTCCAAACCACCTTTGTAACAAATGAAAAAATATCAGCCATCCTCATGTGTTGCCCCTAATGCCAGCTTATTGGGAAATCGAGCACTACTGCTCTCAAAGTGCTTTTCTAGACATATATATTCCAGGAATGTTCCTTGATTATTTATAGAAATTCCCCAACTGGCTTGGGGCAGAAGAGGAGAAAGCAAACTTTTTAATCCTTTTATCTATGTTACCTTATTTAATCCTCTCGATACCTGTGAGGAAGGTATTAATCTTTCTATCTAAGAGATGAGAATACTAAAGATCAGAGAATTTGAACCTTTTCCAAATTGTACAACCTATAAATAATTCCCTTTTCTCTGATCCAAAGCGTATGTTGGTCATTCTTTACCCATCTCCCTCTCCGTGATATTTTCGAAGTTATTATGGAATTTATCTATTTGTCTCTGGTTGTTTTTTATCTGTCTTCGTGCTTGCCTGCTTACTGAATGATTTATTCCCTATTCTGGACCCTGCAAATGACCCATCCTTGCCATAAATTTGCTACTCAGGTCATAGCACAGTGGTTCCTTGGTAATTGTCTGGGTTCTTGGTCAATGTAGACAACCAAATAAAACTTAAGTTGAAGAATTTGCTTTAGAAATAAGGATATCTGTATGGATAGTTTATACTTATGAAACGTAGATCTTTTCAAAGCCCATGAGAATGTGTCATTCAGCCCATCCAGTGTCCCTCCCTTCTTCTGGGAATAGCACTTTTAGCCTCCCCCCTCCAATGTGGTTTTAGGGGTTATTGACAGTGCTCCCTCTTGGCTACAGTAGTTGGTCCAGGGAGTGGGCACATGACCCAAACAGGACCAATCAGAATATTTCCCTGAGATTTTTTGATCTGGAGGTGATAGGGAAAGTTTTTCTCAGATGGTGATGCAGGGAAGATATGAACCTACAACTTTGGGGAGCAATGTTCCATCCTTGGAGAGAAAGCCAGTTTGAGAGGATGAGGTGCATGTGTAGAGAGAAACAGGGATCAGAAACAGAGAACAGAGTATGAGTGTAGAACACTGATGGAGTTCACATGCCCAGGTCTCTAATTCCAGAGCCTAAGTGGCCCATCATTATGGGATCCAAAAAATGTCCCCTTGTTGCCCAAGCTAGTCTGAGTTGTGTTTCTGTCAACTCTGGTGGAATGCATTCCTTTTTTTTTTTTTTTTCTATTGCTTCTTCTCTGCCAAAAGCCAAGATACTGCATGATTCTGAAATAAGCAATTTTGGTTTAAGTAAGACCTATGGGATTGCTGCAAAACTGATGGACATAACAGTTGCATCCTTTAAGGCTACGGTGACTCTACATCCTGGCTTGCTCAGGACAGTTTTGGTTCATGCCTATTGCCCTAGTGTAATTATTAATAGTGCCCTTATCAGTCTCAGAAGGGCCTGATGTGGATGATACATCATATAGTTACCTTAGTTAAGGCTCACCACAGCTGCTCCTTTTTGGAAGCCTTTTCTGATCCCCCAAGCTCCCCTATACGAGGCAGTCCCTGATGAGGCGAGACTCACCCGTCTGTGTAGCCCAGTGGAGTTTTGTGCAGCACCTCGTACACTGTAAGAATTCAGCCAGTATTGGCTGAATTGAACATTTATGCCTCAAAATAACTATCAAGCAAAATTCCCTAAAAGAAATCAATTTGACTGATCCGCATTAGTCATGACTTGGATCCCTAGTTCATCATGTTTTTGAAGGGAACCTAACATTTATGGGACTTATTATAATATTATGGAAACTTGGAATATGTGCTTTCATTTAATTCTCTAAGGTAAGTCTCATCTCCATTTTTAGGAGAAAGGACTTGACTCTCAAAGGAGTGAAGTGTGTGTCTGCGAACGCTGTGTGCGACTGCTACACGCGGGCGCCGCTGCCGTGTGGAGGATGCTGTCCACCGGCTCACTCCCGAGTGCCGCTCTGCACTGCGGAGCTTGGTCACTGGCGCTGCGCTTCAAGACTCCTTTGTAGCTGCCATTCTGGGTGCGATTCAGGTGCTCTCAGTCTGACGCTTGCGTGAGACTGGCTGGGAACTGAACTCCATCGGGAGAGAGGTGGCACAAAGCACTCCGCTTTGCTGGTGCAGGCTGTGGCACGAAGCGTGACAGTTCTGGGGCCAGCAGATGCAGATGCAGTTGCCCACTCAGGCAGAACTGGCTCCCTGATGGCGGCGGGAGCAGCAGGCCCCTTGAGATCTTCATCTACAGTGTGGCTTTGGGTGTCGTTCCTGGAAGCCCCACCTGGAGTCTGTTTCTTCAGGGCTGCCATTGACTTTGAAAATTTAATACCCTTACCAGCAAGTATGGGGAGCTCCTCTTTCTGCAACTGAGTACTGACCACTGTATTATGTCTGCACATACCCAAGGGGGCATCACAGCTGAGACTCAGGGGAGCAAGATGGGTTGATTTTACTTCTCTATGCATGTGCTTTAAGTCCCTTCCTCTGTTTGGTAGCGAAGGCAGCGCCTGAGGACCCGTAGGCTTCTGGCCCCTCATTTAATAATATGGAGTTCGTTCGATACCTGCTTACCTCCTACTGCGATTGTCTGGGAAGATCATGATCACTGTCCTGATTGGTTCAGAGTCATATGGAGGAAGAACCAGCATAATCATGACCCCACTGCTATATATGTAGCCATGAGAAAAGCATCTGGAGCTTTCCTGACATTGAGAGATAATTTAGGGTAGAATATTTTTTTCCCTTTATATGGGGACCAAAAGAAAGCAGATGCCTTTTTTGATTCGCTTGAAATGACTCTTTGATGATAATTTTCCTTAGCATAATCACAGCCTTGTTTAACATTCTCACAACTGAGCATTTTTTTCTTTTCTTTTCTGGGGGAGGCAACTTGGAATCATAGAGAAATATTAATCATTTGGTGTGGTTTTCTTGATTAAAGGAATTGTAAGCGGCTAATTGAAAAACTCAAGGAAGGCTCCTTCTTGGGTTAGTATCACATAAAACTTGCGTCTATAATTCATCATACAGAGCAATCGGCTATTTTTAAAAAGTTCAAACAGACAGTAAAATAATAAAAAATGAGAATAATTATGCCGTTAAGCCTCAATTGGCAAAATTTCTCAGGTAATGGATCTAGCCAACCATTAGGGTAAGAAGAATTTTTTCTTACTAATCTCTATACAGTGTGATTTTGGAGGCCTCAAGAAAGACCCACGCATCCAAAAAATTCCACTCCCCTGGATTACAAATTCCTTGAATTTCTTTGGGAAGGTGTGATGGTTCATTTCAGGTGCCAGCTTGACTGGGCCACAGGGTGCCTAGGTATTTGGTTATTCTGGGTATTTCTGTGAGGGTCTTTTTGGATAAGGTTAACATTTAAATTGGTAGACTGAGTAAAGCAGATAGCCCTCTCTAAAGTGGGCAAGCCTTATCCCACCAGCTGAAGGCCTGAATAGAACAAGTAGCTGCCCCCTCGTCCCCTCACCATGAAAGGGAATTGTTCCTCCAGACTGACAGCCTCCAAACTGGGACACTAGACTTTCCCTCCCTTTGAACTAAAACATCAGCCCTTTCTGGGTCTTGAGCCTCCCAGCCTTTGGTCCGGAACTACACCATGGGCTCTCCCGGGTCTCCAGTTTAATGACTCTCTCTGGAGATCTTGGTACGTGTCAGCCTTCAGAATTCTCCATAATTGTATAAGCCAATTCCTTATAAACATTTCTATATTATATATAATAAAATATATAAATCTCCTTCCTATTGGTTCTGTTCTTTGGAGAACCCTAACTAATACAGAAGGGACAAAAAACCACCCAAACATCCCAGAGGGGAGGCACAATTTTACACACATCTGCTCGCTAAGGAATGAAAGACTGGTCTCTCTGCCTCTTGAGCACACATTTTTGAGAAGAGGCTGGAGGAAGAGCCAACTACTTGACCCAAAAAAGTCAGAGAAAACACCTGCGAAGGGGGTACTCGGTACGATAAGAAGTTTCTTTTGGTCAGAAACTGTATCTGGGATTTTTCAGCAGGAACTTAGCAACTGCAGAGAAGAGACTATTTCCATTTGGGGGATGAGGACTGAGAAGGCTGGTGGAGAGGTGGCCACAGCTTCCCAGCGCCAGCCCAGCTTGCAGACTTTCACCCCATTATTGATGAGGTAGGATTTTCGACAGCATGCATGACTTCCTGGACAAAGCAGGCTGGCTACAGGGCAGGTTTCTCTGGGTTGCCTGTTCCCTGTGTCTCTGGCAGGGCTGCGGCCTGCTCTGGGCCAGGGAAATGTGGCTAT